ACATGAGAAAACGTTAAGTCAAGTACGCAAGATCATTTCCTAAGTGGTGGTGCCAAGATCTGAACCAGTGAGGTTAGGGGGTTCTAGGGCTGTAGGAATAGTATGCCCAAATCACCCTGCCTTGGGTGGAGGTGGGAGTAATGTGTCAGGGGTCTGGTTAAGACACAGCCATGCACAGAACGAGAGGCAGAGAACAACGGTGGACGCTCCACTGCAGGGTTTGAAGGTTAGAGCACAGACTGTGCCAGGTTTAACAGGGCCATGGGAAGCCAGTGCAGGGCGATGGGTTTACATGTGCCTTCCAGGAGGATTAACCTGAGGACAGACAGGGCCATGGGCCAAGACACTGAAGCAGCAGGCGGTGGGGTGGAGAGTGTCCAGAGTTCTTCCCTGCGCCTATCTCCCCACATCAACTGAAGGCTGTGACAGCCAGTGTGTGAGGACACCCTTGTTCTCCTCCACGGTGCCTGGTAGACAGCAGGTACTCACAGAGTACAGGATGACTAAGTGAGTGAGTGTGTACTGATGAGAAATACGGACTGGAGTTTTTGGTTGAAGCAATTTAAAGAAGGCATGCTGGAGGACAAGATGGGAGCCCGGCAAGGATGAGATTGATCTTCCAGAGATTGAATTAGAAATGGCATGTGTGGTGCTATACAGCAGAGGGTTAAAAATCTGCAGCCTTTAGAGGGAGAGACGTGCGGATACGTGGCTAACTAGGGATCTTAAATCAGTAGGCAGAGATGGGAGGTTTCCATGGGAGGGGCAGAAGAAAGGAAAAGGGCGAGCTTGCTGGAGAAAAAGAGAACCAGCAAAACAGAGAACAAGGACCTGTTTGGAAAGAAGGAAAACCACAAGAGTGCTGTGTCATGGAATTCAGAGCTGAGAGGCTGGAATTAGCGGGAGGGGAGTAACAATCAACATCAAATGCTACAAAAAGCAGGTGGGCAGAGGGCCATGAGCACTCCTGATCAAGCATAGGTCTCCTAGGCACGCTGATTAGGGTGGCTTCTGGGCTGTGTGCTAAGACAGCAGATCTCGGGAGCAGCATACCTTCACCCGGAGATGAGGGGGAAGCCACGGCGGCAGTGGTGGCCCAGAGTGCAGACTCTCTGGCACACTCGAGGGCAGAGAGTCAAAGAAGTGCATTGTTTAAGGAAAGAATTGGAAATTCTTTCATTGGAAATTTAAGAAAAGGCTTGGAAAAGGGAGGCCCAAGAGACTAGGAAAAGGGCACTAAAGATTTAGGAAGGTGTGGTGATTTGTGGAGAGAAGAAGAGATACAAAGAGAAAAATCTAGATTGCCTTCATCTAGGGGGAGGGAGTTCCCTGGAGCTAGGAGAGGGGAGGTTGCAGGTGTGTGCAATCACCACCATTAATCACTTTAATAATAGCTTTCATCTACTGAGCACCTGTCACATGACAAACACATCCCACAGATGATTTCTAACCTTCAAACTGGCCATGAAGCCCTCCTTTTATAGAGAAGACTCAGTTTCAAAGAGCTGTCTCACTGGAAGAAAAGGCCCCTCCAACAGCATGCCTGACCTGTAGGGGGAGGTCTCCTGTAAGAGGCGGGATAAGGAGCAGGTTGGGCCTCTGAAGTCACTTAGGATTATCTTAACCGTCTACGGCCATACCACCCTGAATGCGCCCGATCTCATCTGATCTCGGAAGCTAAGCAGGGTCGGGCCTGGTTAGTACTTGGATGGGAGACCGCCTGGGAATACTGGGTGCTGTAGGCTTTAAAGAAAAAATAAAAAATAAATAAAAATTTAAAAAAAGGATTATCTTAACCCTATGAGCAAAGAGACTGCCTAACAGCTGAGAGGGCCACACTAAGATCAGCCAACAGGACTTCGGAGTACACCTAAGAAGCCCAACTAAGTAATGCCTCAGAATTACTTAGGACCCACCCGGAGCAATAGAGATATAAGCATTGAGAAGATTCAGTCCTTGAGTAGATGTACTTTGAAGATGGGGGCCATGAGGGGTAGCAGTGATGACCATTGCTGAATGAATGCATGAATGCAAGCGTCCAAATGAGGAGGTAATTGTTGATGGATAGCGTAGTGCATTTGAGTAGTGTCCACAGAACACCCAAGAGAACGCAAGTGCATCTCTTGACTTTTTTTTTGCACATTTCCCCAAATGCATACACCCATACACAGACACCTCAGAATGTAATCTGCTTGAGGGCACAGCTTTGTCTCTCTAATTCACTGTTATGTCTTTGGTGTCTAAGAGACTAACACATGGTAGGTTCTCAATTAATGCTTGCTACATGAATAAATACAGGGCTCTAAAGCCAAGATAAGAGATCTAGGTGACATTTATGTCAGTGATCAATAAAGCCTCTAGTTTGAATGAACCCCACCAAAAGGAAGTTTACAGAAGAAACAGAAGCAGGGGCTGAGGCCAGAGTCTGAGAAGCAAGCAGAACATGAGCCAGTAAGGAAATGAGTGATGAGGAAATAGAAGTGGGAGACAGAAAGGAGGGAGGGGAGAGGAAAGAAGTGAGTTGCGGAACCAAGAAGAGAAGGGGTTGAGGGTACGGTGCATAGGCCAGCAGTTAAACCGCAAGGTATTGCTTCTAGGGAAGGGCTCGGGAGAGCATCTGGTCCCAAGAGAGACTTGCCCGAGTCATGCAGCAAGTCAGGGACAGAGCCAAGCTACAGCCCAGGTGTCCTGCCTTCCAATTTGAATCATCTCAAATTAGAGTCCTCCGTCTTCCACTGCCACCTGGTAATTCTTTGAGCTCTATGTAAACACTGCGTAGAAACTCAAGAGTTCCTGAAATCACTCAGTTTGTTCACTGTTCGTTTTCTGTTCTTAGAAATTAAGTCTTCTCCCGAGGTCTAAAATCAATGGGAAGCATCTCAACAGACTCAGATTTCTGGGTTGGGGTGGGTTCTCTCGCCCTTACTGGAAAGCCTGTGTTCCTTTTAGACTTACTGTAGTCCCATAGATACGTAGACGGCAATAACTGCCATTTGTATAAGCTCTGGCTAACATCTCCAGGTACTTGACCTGAATTTTTTCTCCTTTAAATATCAGTGCAAAGATCATTTTAACACTGCCCCATCTGGAATCAGATGGCGTGTTTCCAGAGACTCAGCCCTGTCTAGAACCTTTAACCAATTATGTCTGATGCCAAAACCCTTGGGAACTTTTTCATTTAGTACATTATGATTTTTCTCCACCAAAAACAACCCATTAAGTGGTCTAATCCTATAGATATGTTCTTGGATCCCTTGTTATGAAAAGCTTACAGTCTGCTCACTCCTGAAAGAAACAGGAGAATCTATCAACGAAGAGCCTGTGACCTTGAATTCAACTCAATTGCAATAACCAGCCTGGTAAAATTCTCTGCCATCATTTCCCCAAACCCTTTTTTTCTTCCTAGAAAGTAATAGAGACTTGAAGTCTATAAGAGATGAAAGGCCCTGGGGGTGGGGGTGACCTAATCCCAGTCAACCTCCACCCACATCACATTTAGGACAGTTCATGGGTGCAGCCACACAGAACAGAGAAATTGGCAGCTGCCTTGTCTATGAAAGAATCAGTATAACTCAGGGGCTGGAGAGATAACTCAGGGGTTAAGAGCACTTGCTGTTCTTGCAGAGGACCCAAGTTCAATTCCCAGCACCTACATGATGGCTCACAGCCGTCTGTAACTCCAGTGCCAGCAGCTTTGACACCTTCTTCTGAAAGGCACATATGTGGGATGCAGACAAAAACCCATACAGATGAGTTAAAATAAACATTTAAAAAAACATTTTTAAAGAAGCATTACAAGTCAACAATTAAAATAGGAGACCTCTAAGTTGGAGCACTGGGGTCAATTCTCAGAGATGCCCCCCCAAAGGAGGACCCCCATGCTCTAATCTGCAGACCCCTCTACCGCCTGTGGGTTAGATACCACTTTCTCGTATTCTGCATACTGCATTGCAATTATGACTTTATTTGGAGAAAATCTTCTGAGACAAAATAAAAGTGATAATAAAAACTGAAAGTCAGTAATCTAGGGAGAAGGGAAGAAGAACTAAGGTCAGCAGAGAGCTCACAAGGACCTCACTCTGCAAAGGCCAGAAGCACCAAGATGATAACATCCCCAATGCCCTCATGTGTAGTTCCAAATGAAAATCGACATTAAGCTATAAGACACAAGACTTATACATATGCTGCAATAACAGATAATTTGCTTCTCCATTTGTCTGATCTTTCCAGAGTCTGGATAGGTTCCCACTCATGCTGGCTATACCTTTTTTTTTTTTTTTTCCATGCACCTCTGATTTTCTGGGACCACTTAGCACATGTTCATTTGGCCCAGCCTGTCTGCTCTCTGCAGTAGCCCAGGCCCTTCCACTTCCATTTTAGTTAGGAAAGAGGAAACTGAAAGTGTAAGGAAAGGGTGTCACTCATTGAAGGTCACATGACAAATGACAACTGAGGATGTCATTAAAACACAGCTCTTCCAAGTCCAAATTCCAGTCTCATTCCAACACTCCTGGCTTCAGTCAAATTAGGAAAAATATGTTCAAATGAAGGCTTTAAAATAGGAACCAAGACTGGAGAGAGAGCTCAGAGTGAAGTGTGCATAGTGCTTTGACAGAGAACCCAGGTTCTATTCCCCGCACCCACTTGGTGGCTCACAACCATCTGTAACTCCAGTTCCAGGAGATATGATGCCCTCTTCTGGCTTCCACGGGCACTGCACTTACACAGTGCACATATCCCCATGCAGGGAACTATTCATATACACAAAATAAATGAATCTTCTTTTAAAATAATATTAAAATAAAAACAGAAGCTGTCTAATTGCACATCCATGCCTGGCCCATGATACATGCTCAATAAACACATCCTCCTGTCTCCTCTTTCTTCCTAGCAGGGCATTGAGCCTTACCCTCAGTTGGTGATGCCCTGTCAGTCTCTACCGCCCAGCCTGGGAAGAGAGCTTTACCATCTGACTCCTGACCCCCCATCCTCTTTTGCAGGTGGACTCATTTCCCAGAGGCAGACCAGCCAGGAGTGCTGAATGCAAATTCAGTCACGGGCTAGGGAGCACTAAGCAAAGCCTGCAGGATGGACTTTGTCATGAAGCAAGCCCTTGGAGGTGAGCCCCACCACCTTCCCCACGTACCCCCTGACCACGAGAGAGGGAACCTCAAACCACCTGCCTTCTCTCCCCAACTGACCACACCCTCCTCCTCCCCTGACCACTCCACATCCCTGTAGGGGCCACCAAGGACATGGGGAAGATGCTGGGAGGGGAGGAGGAGAAGGACCCTGACGCCCAGAAGAAGGAGGAAGAGCGACAGGAGGCCCTGAGGCAGCAGGAGGAAGAGCGCAAGGCCAAGCACGCACGCATGGAAGCCGAGCGCGAGAAGGTCCGGCAGCAGATCCGAGACAAGGTCAGCACCCCTGAAAGCCCCACCTCCACTCCCTGAACCCCAGCTCTCCTCTTAGAGCCAGTTCTCTCCGAGCCTCGCTCTCATCAGGAAAACGAGTGTCTTTGGAACATGTCCTCAAGATCGTACAGTAACTCTGTAAGCACTCGGGAAATGCAACAATGTATCAGGTCCAACAGCACTGCCAGAGCCCGAGACTAAATATAAGTGGAATTCAGGAAGTGTGGATATTAGAGAAAATTTCCATGGTACCCTGACCACCAGGTACTGAGCGCTACCCTGTGTCATTCACTTAGTGCATGTCTGACAGCACTCTGCTGCAAAGTAACACCACAAGCGGCCTTCTGTCAGCCAGCTGTACTGCAAAAGTGTGCCTCAGAACACAGGAAGACATTCAGTATTCAGAACTCAGAACTCAGGGAATCTCAAAAGGACAAAGGGGTATTATCAGTAAGTGTTAATTTTAAAAGAAACCAAGATACGGCCCTTTTTATGTTTTGTTTTGGTTTTGGGAGGCAAGGTTTCTCTGTGTAACAGTCCTGGCTGTGCTGAAAGTTGCTTTGTAGACCAGGCTGGCTTTGAACTCACAGACAGCCACCTGCCTCTGCCTCCCAAGTGCTAAGATTATGCCGCTGCCACCGTCGCCCAGCTTGAGGCATGGTCTTTTATGTGAGTCCTCTACTAAGGACTGGGCTCGGTGCTCCAGGGAAGGCAGCTTTCCTGGAGAGTTTAGAAGTGCTGATAAGACACATCTCCCAAGTCTGAGTGAGTGAAAAAAGTCAGCCCTCTCTTCCCCCGACTCAACTTCATAACTTTCTGTCTTTCTCTTCCCTAGTATGGGCTGAAGAAGAAAGAAGAGAAGGAGGCAGAGGAGAAGGCAGCCCTGGAGCAGCCCTGTGAGGGAAGCCTGACCCGACCCAAGAAGGCCATCCCTGCAGGATGTGGGGATGAGGAGGAGGAGGAAGAGGAGAGCATCCTGGACACGGTGCTCAAGTATCTGCCCGGGCCGCTGCAGGACATGTTTAAGAAGTAACCCACCCTCCCGCCCCATCCACGTTATGACTTTTTTGTTGGTGGTGGTCTTTCTTTTCTTCTCTCTTTATTAAGTTAAGTATCAGTTCCAAAGGGGAAGACCTCAGTTGGCCCCTGCCCCCTTCCCCAGCCAGGGGTGCCTCTCCCCTCTGCACTCATCCCAGGGTTTCTAGTCTTGTTTCGCTCCCAAATAGCTTGAAAAAGGAAGACAGCTTTACTCCAGCAGGGGGCATTGAACCCAGAGCCAAAGGCAGTGGGTGCCCCTCCAGAAGCCCAAGGTCTATGTTAGTGTGGTTACACCCCCCCCATACATTCCTTCATGCTCCCCACTGCCAGGAGGACCACTGTCCCCAGCCAGCCAAAGTAATGACACATTCCAGCCCTGCCCAGCATGCTGACCATTGGCCTCTGAATTCCCAGTGGGAGTCCAGGTTAGGGCAGAGGCACCCAGTGGCCTGGCTCTGAGAAAGGCTGTGCACAGTGAGCCTGCCCTGAGAGAGCCTGCCCTGAGAGGTTGGCTGTAGCTGGATCTGGCCAGGTTAGAGTCTGGGCAAGCGGCTTGGGCTGTCCCCTTCCCTCTTCCTGGTGACACCTACCCAGGATCACACCTCTCCCCATCCCTACCTTGAAAAGCACGGCCCCTGCCAAGCTGCTCCCTCCAAATGGATCCTCTTTGGACTTTAGCACATCTGTGGAGGAGCCTAGGGCAGGGCAACCCCTTATTCCCTCATCTGACCTAGGCCCTGGGACCCCACTGCCAGGCTAGGCCCCAGTCTGCCCAGCCAAGGGGCTGCCCAGGCCCCCAGAAAACACTTGGAGCCATCGGGCAGTGATGGTCTGTGCCATGGGACCTGTCACGGGTACAGCCAAACTGCCCCCATTCCTCTCCACCCTTCTTCCCTTCCATGTCCTGTTCATGTGCTTCCAAGTCCCCATTGTCCCCAGGAGGACCCTTCTTGGTCGAAGCCCAAGCAGCTGGGGAAAAGCCAATTCCCACCTGACAAAAGACTGTCCACTCGTCCCACTGGCCAAGAATCAGCTCTCCTTGGGGATGTATAGGGCTGCCATCTGTCCTCACACCCCGCATTGTCGAGCTGCCTGCTCTGTGACTTGTGTAGAAATGGAGCAGGGACAGAGGGGGAGGCGCAGAAGAGGGATGAACGTGTGAGTCCACACACACACACATCAGATAACGTATGGCAGACCCCATCACGCATCTATGTATGGTTAGAGTGTGATGTCTTGAGATCGCATGTGTGTGTTAGTCATCACACCTCTGTGCTAGAGGTTGTTTATATGGTGTACCTTGTGTATATGTGTTTGTGGGGTGTGGTGTGCCTGAGTTTCAATTATAATTCTCAGTGTGTGCCCGCCATCTCATGTGTTTAAAGACTGCATGTGTTAGCTTGTATATGCATGTATTTTCAAAACGGCATGTGTGTCAAGAGTGCCAGTTACCTGTTAGATGCAGAAATGAGTGTTTGAGAGAACTGTCAGATGGGCCAAGACTGGTGTTCATGTGTGTGGGTCTAGAACAGGCAGTTGAATGCATAAGGATGTGCTTGGACAGCAAGAACCAGAGTAAGATGCCCCCTCCCAACTCTGAGACCGTTCGTTAGTCACAGGTGGCCACATCTGACAGGAGATCTTACCCTTGGCCTAGAGTCCTCCCACCCTTGGGGGTTTCCTACCTGAGGTCCTCAGAATTCCTCTGGGGCAGACCCAGGCAGTGCCCCAGGAAGCCATGCTGGGCCCCCACCAGGGCCTATCCCAAAAGCAGGGGCCCAGGAGGGGCGACTTGCCCGCTCCCAAAGCCTCTGTCCCGCTGGTCCCATTGTGTTCTGCAGGTTTTCCATTTTAGTGGACTTACGCTTTTATTTCAGAGAAGACATGTGTCTTCCTGTCTGTTTCCAATAGTTAAAGCCATATCAGTTAGACCGCAATACTTTAAAGACGAGACTAAACAATTCATATGTTTAGGGAACCAGAAAAGTCCCCTGGTCTGTCCCTTCTCCAAGGAGCAGGGCTTCGGCAGCTCCAGCTCCTGGGACTTACCCTTCCCCACGCCCCCTTGTGCCCCTGTGTCATCCTGCAGGGGGCCAGTGTTTGTGTCTATGTCTGTGATGGGGAGCCATCTTGCACCCCTCTTGTCTGCTTGTCTCTGTCTTCTATCCTGGGCAGGATGGTCATTCTCAAGAGCCTTGGGGTCCTGGGCCAGAGACAGGCAGGGACCAGTCCAGGGGCCCTAGGCCTCCCTAAACCCTGAGTAAGACTCCCACCTGAACACAGGGATGGATACCAGTGTTAAGGAAGGCCTTCTTCCCCTTGACAGGGACCCTTAGACCTCAAAGGTGTTGGCAGGGTACAGAGCACCAGATGGGTAGTCGAGACCAAGACCCGGGGACCTGCACATAAGCAAGAGAACCCACATGGGCCTGAGGGAGTCAGACCCTTCAATTGGTGTCCTTAATGGTTTCCATGGCCCCTCTGGGTACCCAGAGTGGGCTCAGGGCTTTTCGTCTCCACCCACAGCCCTTCAGGCTGGGCTAGCTTAGTCTAGGTCTCAGTCTCCTCTTTTCCATGCCCAGGCAGCAGATTTTTGAGGTTCTTTTAGAGGTGCGGGTAAGAGAGAGAATTTCTACTTGGTATATATCTGGTTCCACCCACACAAAGCCCAGGGGGATATAATGATTGACATTTCTGACACGGACCTGACTATGGGGAGAAAACAATGGGTGATCCCTAAAGGATGCTATCTATGTACAACATTTATGGGAGGACAAAACTTGGACACTTGAGCAGGGGAAAGGACGTTTGTTCACCTGATGTGCCTAGAGCAGGAGGTGTGTGTGTGTGGCCCACAGAATGAGCAGATGAGTATATCACACAGAAATGTAATATGTAAGTGACACACGGAAAAGAGGCTCCAGAATTCACACACACACACACACACACACACACACACACACACACACACACGCACACACACACGCACACGCACACACACACACACAGCATGGTAGGTGGCTGGAGATAGAATGAGATGCACCACTGACATGGGACCTGTGCACTCTTGGGGAAAGCCAGCAGGCTCCTGCGCCTGGGACTCTCCATCAGAGAGAAGAAGCAAAGGGATTCTCCGGGTCTCTGTGGAGATGACACAGGGTTTCCAAAGTGCATATCCTCCATTTCAGCTCCAAAGCACCGGGAAGTGAGTCCTTGGCAGTGAAGCTTCATGAGTGAGGCCTCCTTCAGTAGAACTGAGAGGTCTGTAGGCCATCCCAGGCATGCGAAAAAGAGAAAATGAGAGAGCAGAAAAGAGACAGAAGTGTTGCGGCCCAGAGTCCCCTCACACATGAGGTAGTTGGTGGGCAGACCAGCCGTCCTAAAGACTTGTGGCTAGAGTAAGGATGGCATGGGATTTCCAGCGCCAAGGGCTAGCACCCAGCTGGCAAAGTTGCCCAACCATAGCACCCTGTTCCATCTGCTAAGGTTTAGCCATCCCTTGACTGTACTGGGAGGCCTGGGGATCAGACTGGCTCCCATGGGAAATGCCTCCCAGCAAATGTCCCCTGCTCTAGTCCCCGGTCCTGTTGTCCCACCCTCTTCACCAGGGAGAGAACAGAGGTGCTCCTCCTGGCCCCGGGATGGGGGTGGGGAGCCCCACTGAGACCCAGCTGAAATGACCATCCTGCTGATGTGGGGAGCCCTTTCCCACAGTTGTGCTCTGTCCTTGTTGCTCTGCTTCCTCTAAATGTGTCAGTATCTGGGGGAGGGGAGGGCCACCCCCCCACTCCCTTGAACCTGACCAAAAGCCATGGCTGTGCTCCCCACTTTGTGTGATGCAAATGCTAAGATGTACAAAACCAACCATGACAACAAAGAAAAAGACCTTGTACAGCAGCTTCCATCTGTCTGCCTCCTTCTGTCCGTTAGCACCAGCAGTGATGGGAGACAACCAACACAGACAGCTCAAGGTAGCCCAACATGCTCTATGTCCACCCCCAGCCTCCAGCCAGGACACTGTAGAAATGGCCTCAGAAATCAATGGAGGCTAAAGTTGGGGCAGGCCCAAGTTCCAGGATCACTCTGCCTCTGAAGGCCGACTCTACAATCCCAGAGGAGGGCTTGTGAGGCTGACCCTCGCATCCCATCACAGGCTGCCCTTCTCTACCAGTTCCTTGGGGGGTGCCATCCTGAGAATACCATGAACACAATAGATGGGCAAATGTCTATCAGTAGTTCGTTCCACAACATGGATGGGGCCTTCCTTCTGGGCCTGGGTGGCTTGCAGGAGGCTGAGGACACACCAAGAGGACAGCACTCAGCATTCCTCTTGGACACACACACAGCTTGTTGAGGGTCAGTATAAGACCCCTTTCGCTTCCATGCCCCCACTTCAGATTGGTCTGAAGTGAGGTCCATTTCTCTCTGGCTTCTCAGCACTTCCCATTGTCATACATGGGAAGTAATGTCTGTCCCCACCTACTGGTCTACCTCTTCCTTTCTGTCCATCCTTCTCCCTGACACCCCAGCCCCAGCTAGAGGGTCTATCTAAAACGCAAACATCAACCAACATGTCACTCCCTGCCCAGTACTTCCACCTGCCCATAGGATGGTATCTATCTGGCGGACAGCATCCAGATGATCAAAATGGCCCTGTGTGATATGACTCCAATGATTCCAACCTGCTCAGTCAGAGCCACAGAACCTCAGTGTTCCATGAGCACTCAGCACCCCCCATCCAATGCTACATCACATTTGCATAAATTACCCCTCACCCCTCCTTGTAACCTTGGCACAATCCTCAAGCTCCTCAAGATCTAGCTCGTGTCACTCCCCTCTGCACAGCCCACTGATACAGCTTCCTGTCTCTTGACCAGAGCAGGATCTGTTACCATGCACACAGAGCACAAAGCATCACGGCTTTGTGTTGCAATAAAAAGCCCCAAGCATACAGACAGGCGCTTCCACCCAGCAGAGTGATCTTGAGCAAGACACTTAACCCCTGTGAGCATCTTCTCACAAGGGAAATGGAATGATAATAATTATTCTAACCTCCACTGTTGTAGGAGTAAGTAGAGTTTTTCACAAATGCCCTTATCATTGAATACTAAGCACTCATCAACCAGCACTGTGAAGTCTATTTTTAAGATACATGAATACACACATCTCCCCAACAACTGCAATCTCCATAAGGACAACACATTTGTTACCTCCCAGTGTCTGTGGGTCAGGAGTCTGGGCACAAGGTTAGCTGGATTCTCTGCCTTCAGGTCTTCATGAGGATGCTAGCAAAGTACAAGCCAGGGTCCTCATCAGAAGGCTCAGCTGAACAAGGATCACCCCCAAGTTCACACAGTTGCTGGAAGGATGCAATTGATGGATATTGGCTGGAGAATACCCCCTGTTCCTTGCCATGTGGACCCCTCCATGGGGGCAACTCACAACATGAAGCTTGTCCCACCCCAGTGTGAAAACCAAGGTAACTCTAGATGAATCTGCTAGCAAAATGGACGCCACAATTTTCTATCACCTAATTGCAGAAGGATGTGCTGTGTGCTGTCGGCAAGAAGCAATTTCAAGTTCTTCCTACACTGACAGGGAGAGAACCACACCAAGGTGAGACTAGCAGGGCTGAGCCCAAAAGCTCCCTCCCTCAGGAAGTGTAGACCTTGGCAGGCAGAGTCTTGGGAGGTGAAGATGTCTCACAGAGGTGCATTGGTGAGTTCCCTGTGGAGTTCTGCAAGACAAAGTCCAGGCCCAGAACATGGGAAAGAAAGAGAATGACTTCAGAATTCCCTGGGAGGCCACCACGAGGTGAACTCTGCCAGTCACACAAGACACTGCCCCCTCAAACCTGGCTTTGTGACAGCTTAGTCACGAACAGACAGTCAATTCTTCTCTCCTCTCCTCTCTTTTCCTTACAGTGCACCTGTGTCCTGGTGGGTAAACACTACCACCCTCCCGGTTGTAATCGTGAAGTTTTTCTCCTAAGTGTCTTAATCCCCTTAGTTAAATCAAACATCTGCTATGTGCTTGGCACTGTACTAGGCACCAAGAATACCAGCCACACAACCTGATCTAGCTGACCGACTACTTGCAAAGGGAAAGATAGACCATTGCCCACCGCAGTGTATCCAGTCACTCACGTGTTTTGGCCCTTGGTGAAGGCTCCCTGGAAGAGGCAACAACTAAAATGAGTCTCAAATGAGGAGGAGACAGCTTAGTGGGGAAGGAGAGCGCTCTGGGTACCAAGAACAAAGGCAAAGGGAGAGGTGGAGACAAAGGTAGTTCCGTACAGGAGGCAAGAAAGGGTGGGATGTCTGCCGGAGCCGGAGCCGTCAGAGCTGCTGGTGAAAGCTGAGTCTGGGCGTGGCAAACGCAGTGCCAAGCAATAAAATTTGGGCTCTACCTGCAGGCCACCAGGAGCTACTGAAGGGCACTAAGGTGAGAAACCACAGGAAGCACAAATGGCATTTTGCATGGTCTAGTACCCCAGATGGAAAGGGCATTGACCGCTGATTTCACCACAGGACCAAAAGATCTTAAAGTCAAGAAGCCTAGAGTGGGCAGGGGATTAAAGTGGAACCCACTCTCCTATGCATTCAGGAATCCCTCTGTGCCACCCTTGGATGGGAGTACTCTTGTGTTTGCACTCCCCACAGTGTCCTGGAGCTCACTCTAGTTTGAAAGCTCCCTTCTTTAAACTAAAAACTGCCAGGAGGCAGAGAGTTAATGAAACCTCCTTCGATATCTCACTAATTGACTGCAAAACCCAGCTTCTAGACCATTCACTTAGCACTTGTAATTAATTGGGGTTTCTTGCCTGATCTGAGAGATGATTTGATACTGCCTGAAGACAATTTTTTCTCAGTTAGGCTCTTCCAGCTGGAGACATCCCTCACACCAGGCCTCTGCATGCATGCTGACCCGGGTATAAATTCAGACTCCAGTCCTTCCTCTTTGTGAGAGCTCAGGCAGGTCATCCCCAGTTCCAAGCATAGAGCTGACAAAAGTTTTAGACTCAGAAGGTTGGATGAGAGCTGGCATCACCATATCAGTCTCCCGACCCAAAGCATCCATCCATCCATCCATCCCTCCATCCATATAGAGGCAGGCCCAGGGCTCTTCATCTCTTGGTTACATCAATTCCCTGTGTGTTCACTGTGAGACAAAGTTGGAATGACCCTATCTGTGTAATGGTCATGTTGCTATAATAAGCTAGGGAGGAAAAGGAACCCCCCTCCCCTACTCAGAAAACACTTGCTCTATGCCAACCATAAGAACTGATTGCTTTAAATACATGACCTATCTCAAAAGCAATCTGTAAGTTCAGCATTATCCCCACCTTATACAACAGAATGAGAAGCTTCCTTTGTGGGGACACAAAACAAGCCAAGAGGATAATGAAGAATAACTTTCTCCTTCAAGAATTCCTCTTGTATCTTAAAATGATAGCAATGTGTTACAGTTATTTATCTGCAGGCACATAACAAATGGCCTCCCAACTTAATGGCTTCAAGCAGTAAACATTCATGTTTCTTTGGGGCCATGAATTCTGGAGTGGGTGCCCTGGTGATTCACATGGGGATCTATCATTAAGTAGCCATCAAGAAAGCAGCCTGAATTACTGGGAGTGGTGGTGCATGCCTTTAATCCCAACACTCAGGAGGCAGAGGCAAAAGGAGCTCTGAGTTTGAGTCCAGCCTGGGCTACATATTGAGTTCAAGACCAGCCAGGAATACACAGACCTTGTCTCAACACACACACACACACACACACACACACACACACACACACATGCACACACACAACAACAACAACAACAACAACAACAAAGATGGCAGCCTGGGCTACAATCTTATCTGAAGATTCAGCTGTCCAAATGTGCCCAGATGACATGCCTCTGAGACAGCTAAATCACAGTGGGACAGTTCTGGCTGTTGGCAGATCTCCTTGCCAGGGAAGCCTCTTTGCAGAAACTTTTGAATGCCCTCCCATCATGGTGTCCCCAGGAAAGAATCATGCAAGAGAAGCAGGTGGAAGCTGCAGTCTTTAGGACTTAGCTTCAGAACCTCACACCTCACACTGCTGCTTCTGTAGTATTCTGTTGGTCCCCAACTCCGGCTCTGACTCAATGTGGGAGACTCTGCACAATACAAATCCCAGAAAGGAAGATGGCTGGAGACTGGGACATGTGGGGGCGGGGGCACCTACTTCACAATATGTGCCTTGACCTACCTTACAGATCTTTCTTCAAGGCTTAGTCAGTAAACATTCCTTCATTGATCCATTCATACAGTAGACGTTTCCTCATTCCCTTCTCTGTTCAGCAAACAGAGGCCTTCCCGTGCTCATGATCTAAGTTAGGCCTACCTTTAGACTTGCATCTGCCAAAGTCATGGGAGCTTGGAGTCTGTGTGTGCAAAACAAGACACAGCCAAGCACCAGGAGAAAACATTTGGATTTTTTCCCAGGAAGCCTTGTTTGGAACTTGGGAGTCATTCAACACTGGATATTGCATTCCACCTCTTAGGAGTTGCATGGCAAAAGGATAAGGCCTGTGACAACTAATTAGCTACAAAATGTATTAAAATGCCTCTCCCAGGCATTAACTTCTCAGTACATGATACCTAAGACTATGAATACTATAGATCTTCATCAGACATGGTGGCTCATGCTTATAATCTCAGCATTCAGGAACCTGAAGCAGGAAAAGTGTGAGTTCAAGGCCAGCTAAGGCTACATAGTGAGTTCCCAGGCCAGCATGGGCTACATAGCAAAACCCTACCCGAAACAAATAAACAAGCATAAAGACTATTAATATTGCAAGTATAAATAAATTGAGATTATAACGCCCCCCCCCAAGCCTTGGAAGAGAACGCTGGGTTCTTGGACCC